TTTTTTTTTTATTCTATCATATTTAGTGTGTCTATGTCTACTGTGAAATGTTGTATTTTGTTTGTAACTATGTAGTGTGCAAGAAACATACTGTTACGCAAGAAATATTTCAGCCATTTTCTGACAATAAAGTTTATATCTATATCTATTTCTATATCTACCCTGGCTTTGAGGGCAGTTGCAACCCTAGTTATGAAATACAAATTGTATGACTTTTGAATTTATAAAATATGCAATGTAAAAACATTTATTAGAAAACTCTCACTTAACTTTAAATTATAATGAAATCAAAATTCATCACCTATCTATTTTCTAAATGCATATGAATGATACATCGTATTGTAGATGATTCATCCATATATGTTTTTCTTTTTTGCCCTTGTAATATTTCATTAAAAGGTAATTGCATTTATTTTTTGACCTTACTTTCAATTAATAAATACCAAAATCATGTTATTTTAATTTTTTTAACTTGACATCTTGTTTTTCTCAATGTAAATAATTAAAACAATGTAAATAATGACACAATTACTGTCTGCACATTAGAGTCCACCAGTGAAATGCTTGAGAACCCTTGACTATATTTGTTTCTCATGATGATCCTAAAATCCTTCTGATATAACCTGCTCTGAGACTGTCTGTCTCTGTCTGTGTGTGTGTGTATATATATATATATTCCTGACCTGCCATGACAGGATAGTCAAAATGCTCTGCAGCTGGATCCAGATTCACCACCTGTACAGATCGGTTGAGGGCCTGACAATGCTCTAACATTGTGGAACAGTAAGTACTCTGAAAAATACAGAAAACAACTCGGATTCAATATAAAATCACTATACCCCATAGTAAGAATCGATTTATTAATGGTTCAAGTATTGTGCTTTGCTTAGGTTAAAATAATTACGATCAAAATAGACCAGACTGGTGTTTTAAATTTAACACTTCAGTATAGATATGCACACAATAAAACAAAACCATAACTACTGAGGATCATTTAGCATGTAAACGCAACTAGTCCTCCTGGTACTGAATTACCTTTCCACTTCCGGCAGGACCCATCACTAGTTGCGCGTATCGAGGCATGGTTAATTCTCCAGCTCCAACAGCACTAGATGGTATGCCGTTTTCACGTATTTCTCCAAAAAACGCTATTTGCCTCAGCAATGTGTTATACTTATAATATCTATGGCAGCCATGCTGTTTTCCGTCACCTACGGAAGCCCGCTGAGGTCAAAACACTGGAAACGCGCACAGTATCGGATGGGATTACAGGTCGCTTTATATCGCTTGTAAATATTCAAGTCTCAGTTCAGGTAACGTTAACACTCCAGCATGAAAA